CCCATGTGAGGAAGGAAGCCCCGTGTGAAGAAGGAAGCCCCATGTGAGGAAGGAAGCCCCACGTGAGGAAGGAAGCCCCATGTGAGGAAGGAAGCCCCATGTGAGGAAGGAAACCCCATGTGAGGAAGGAAGTCCCATGTGAGGAAGGAAGCCCTATGTGAGGAAGGAAGCCCCATGATATGAGGAAGGAAGCCCCATTTGAGGAAGGAAGTCCCATGTGAGGATGAAAGTCCCATGTGAGGATGAAAGTCCCATGTGAGGATGGAAGCCCCGTGTAAGAAAGGAAGCCCCATGTGAGGATGGAAGCCCTATGTGAGGATGAAAGTCCCATGTGAGGATGAAAGTCCCATGTGAGGATGAAAGTCCCATGTGAGGATGAAAGTCCCATGTGAGGATGAAAGTCCCATGTGAGGATGAAAGTCCCATGTGAGGTTGGACGTCATCATGTGAGGAAGGAAGCCCCGTGTGAGGAAGGAAACCCCATGATGTGAGAAAGGAAGCCCCATGTGAGAATGGAAACCCTATGATGTGAGGAAGGAAGCCCCATGTGAGGATGGAAACCCCATGATGTGAGAAAGGAAGCCCCATGTGAGGATGGAAACCCCATGATGTGAGAAAGAAAGCCCCATGTGGGGATGGAAACACCATGATGTGAGAAAGGAAGCCCCATGTGAGGATGGAAACCCCATGATGTGAGGAAGGAAGCCCCATGTGAGGATGGAAACCCCATGATGTGAGGAAGGAAGTCTTATGTGAGGATGGAAACCCGATGATGTGAGGATGAAAGTCCCATGGAGGTTGGACGTCATCATGTGAGGAAGAAACCCCGTTTCAGGAAGGAAGCCCCATGTGAGGAAGGAAACCCCGTGTGAGGAAGGAAGCCCTATGTGAGGAAGGAAACCCCATGTGAGGAAGGAAACCCCATGATATGAGGAAGGAAGCCCCATGTGAGGAATGAAGCCCCGTGATATGAAGGAAGCCCTATGTGAGGAAGGAAGCCCCATGTGAGGTAGGAAGCCCCATGTGAGGAAGGAAACCCCATGTGAGGAAGGAAGCCCCATGTAAGGAAGGAAACCCAATGATATGAGGAAGGAAACCCAATTATATGAGGAAGGAAGTCCCATGTGAGGAAGGAAGTCCCATGTGAGGAAGGAAGTCCGATGTGAGGAAGGAAGTCCGATGTGAGGAAGGAAGCCCACATGTGAGGAAGGAAGTCCGATGTGAGGAAGGAAGTCCGATGTGAGGAAGGAAGCCTCATGATATGAGGAAGGAAGCCCCATTTGAGGAAAGAAGCCCCATAAGAGGAAAGAAGCCCCATGATATGAGGAAGGAAGCCCCGTGTGAGGAAGGAAGCCCCATGTGAGGAAGGAAGTCCCATGTGAGGAAGGAAGCCCCATTTGAGGAAGGAAGCCCCATGATATGAGGAAGAAAGCCCCATGTGAGGAAGGAAGTCCCATGTGAGGAAGAAAGCCCAATGTGAGGAAGGAAGCCCCATGTGAGGAAGGAAGCCCCATGTGAGGAAGGAAGCCCCATGTGAGGAGGGAAGCCCCATGTGAGGAAGGAAGCCCCGTGTGAGGAAGGAAGCCCCATGTGAGGAAGGAAGCCCCCATGTGAGGCAGGAAACCCCATGTTGTGAGGAAGGAAGCCCCATGTGACGATGGTGATGTTTTTGTACGTTCACCTGCTGTAAACTGTTAGTTGGTACACATCTGGACTTTGGCTTTGTTCCAGTACCCGAGTTTTGCGTATGCATTCGTTCTATATATCTGGCTTATTTGTATATGCAGACTGCTGGTTCCTTGCCTCTAATGTAGATACACTCTGACTTCGAATAAAACGCCCACAGTTAGTTGCCTCCGAAGATGTGCTTGTGTAGGGAACAGGAGGCCCACACTCTTTTCACTAAAATGGGACACCGGGACCCACACGGGGAGTATCCTGTACTTCTTCTGCGCTCGCCATTAAAAGGGTGTAGTTTACAGCGAGGCTGCGATATATCAAACACTTACGGTTTTTTTGCTTTAGTCATTTCACTGATACCAGGTTGTAGCCCAGTGTGGTGGTTTTCTGTACTTGCCTTGCGCTTTTCAGGTGGCTTGGTTTGGATGATAAATTGAAACATCATTTACCCAACTCTTTCTTTGCTTTCCTCTCGCCTTCCTCCAAGATTTTCCGCTGTAAAAAAAAGTATACGCAGTTTGTTCCAGTTGCATTCCCACTAGATGGTCGAACCATTTCATTCTTTGTCTGTCAGTATAATTAGGACATTGTCTTATTCCAACTGTTTTCCCTAATGCTGGTATTCATAACCCTATCTCTTTTAGTGTTGTTAGTGGCCTCGGAAAAGATGGAGTGATGGCTTAAAGAACAGCCTTACATAAATGAACATCAGTCTTAATAGTGCTCTTGACAGAGCTTATCAACGAAGGTTACACCCCCCCCCCCCCCCCCGACACTTCGCTGAGGTACAGTTTGGAAGAGAAGAAGATGGAGAAGAAGTGACCTTGTGAAGACAGCACATTTCAGGTGTAGTTATTTTCTGTTTTAGTGCCCTATTCATTATGGTGCCAGTAAGTAACGGTTACAAAAAGTGCAGAACCCTTCAAAGCTTACGGCGTGTCTGACATTTGGTGCTAGACTCATTTGTAGAGACCGCTCGACCCTCGACATTTGATGTGGTATATACATCATGCCGATAAAACAATCCCTAATTAGTCGTCTGTTACGACATGTTTGTTAGGGGCCTGGGCCTTCTCGCCCTCCCCAATAAGGCCCCTGAACCATCACGGAAGAGTCATCATAATGATGCTGCTGATAATAATGATGATGGTGTCCATAATAAAACGATATCATGTGAAACGTGTGGAACCTCGGTGTCATGTAGCTCTTCTCGTGCCATTCCCTGCAGACTGTTCCCAATATGCTGGCCTTGTGATGGAAACGGAGACCGTTACAGTAATTGCATACAAACATCACTATTTGTGAAACAACGTGAAATCCACTCGGGTAAAATGGCCCGGACCGCTGAATAAATCTGGCATCGATGTTTTAGACGTGGACGTGGAGTCAAGGAACGGGCAGTTGACCAAGTGGTTGCGTTTCCTTCTATCTAGGTCAGTGGCTCTCAACATGTCCAATGCAGCGACCCTTTAATGCAGTTCCTCATGTTGTAGTGACCTCCCAACCATAAAACTATTTTCGTTGCTAATTCATAACTTCAGTGAATATGTATGCTATCAATGCCAAACGTGGACACTTACATCCTCCAATGAACGTAAAACTGTGACAACAGAGATAAAATGCCTTAGAAGAGCTGCAGGAGTTTCAAGGAAAGACAGAATACGAAATCATGAAATCAGAAGAATGCTAGGAATAAAGCCAGTCTTACAAGTCATCAAAAAACAACAAATAAAGTGGTTTGGACACTTGTTAGAATGCCCTGGTACTATCTGCCACAGCGAGCCACACTAAAACGTTACAACGGGTATAGAGCGAGTGGAAGACCTCGGAAAATATGGAGTATGGCATTAAGAACAGAAATGAACATCAGCCTTGATAGTGCTCTTAATAGAGCTCATCAACGTACATTACTTCTCCCCCGACACTTCGATGAGGTACAAGGTGGAAAAGAAGAAGAAGTATGTGTTTACCGATGGTCTTAGACGACCCCTATGAAAGGGTCGTACGACACCCAAAAGGGTCTCGACCCACATTTTTAGAACCGCTGTTCTAGGGTCAATCGTGTTGGGCACACATCCGGAGGAAAATGGTCAAGCGGCGACCTAATCGATAAGTGGTCATTGACTCAATTTGCGGCTTCACGTAGAATTCTAGACATTGCTACCACATTTCATGTTATAAACGCTCGGTTCGTAAACTATGATTACTTTCGACGCCATGTTTTGTTTTCCTTTTTCCATTCTAGCACGATGATTGTACTGTAGTGTCTCTGATAGATTCAGGTTATGTTATGTTATCACGACGGCTTTGTGGCTAAGTCGATGCGAACGCTTCGTTATGCCGGGGTGCCGGGTTCGATCCCAGCTGCGGGCCATGCGCCTTGCGTTGATTTCGACAGTGGTATTAGGGGACCGACCGTCCAGTGGCAATAGTAAACTACTGGACGTAAATTTGCCTCGAGAAACCACAGAACAGCTAAGGGCTACTGGGGTTGGTTCTGCAACGTCTTGTAAAGAATACGCAACTAACCTTTTTTATATTATCACAATCTATGTCACTGCACATTGGGCGTTCACATGAGATTGAGATGTCCTCCTATGGGTTTTAGGGGTCGCATTTTGTGCGACTAATTAAGTGTTTACGGAAATCAGATGTGTTGAACCGAACAGCGAAGACGTCGGCGCGTAGCTGTAAACCGTAACACAACGTGCCTGCCTTCCTTGGAAGGACAAAGAAGAGGACAAGAATACAAACCCATGACAGCCACCTATGAAGGACAAAGAAGAGGACAGAAATACAAACCCATGTCAGCCACCTATAAAGGACAAAGAAGATGACAGGGGTACAAACACATGGCGGCCACCTATGAAGGACAAAGAAGAGGACAGAAATACAAACCCATGACAGCCACCTGTGAAGGACAAAGAAGAGGACAGGGGTACAAAAACATGACGACCACGTATGAAGGACAAAGAGGGGGACAGGGGTACAAACACATGACGGCCACGTATGAAGGACAAAGAAGAGGACAGGGGTACAAACACATGACGGCCACGTATGGCTTCTCATCTTCTTCTTCTTCCTCCTCCTTCCCTGCTTCTCGTCCTCCTCTTCCTTATATAATATGCACATTATTATATGAACATAACATGCTTTATTGATAACATGCAACTGCTGGGTGAAAGAAGGACCGTGTGTGAGACTGGCCTGCGTGACCAATTTGTGACCCTTTAAAAAAAAAAAAAAAAAAAAACTTCATTCGTTCACATGTCCTTTTTTATCCTTATCTTGCTCCTTCTCCTTCTCTGTCGCCACGTAGAATGATTATTGGAACGTTGTATTCTTCTTCTTCTGCCGATGCTGCTGCTTCGTTCGTCGTATTTTGATCTATATCATAAGCTGCAGTTTATATGTCATTTGACCGTTTTACCCAACATATCTGAGATCAGCACATGTCGTTGCTCAGGACAGTTTTGCTAAGGGCCAGTGATTTTTGATTCCCCCCTAAAATGGGACCAAGGAACCCACACAGCGGTAATTGATTTTGGTTACGTAAACTGTGAATGGATAAGAACCAAGTCAAGATTGGTAATTTATTGACATCGATCCAATGAAACTGCTCCAGGGACAGAAAATATAGTTACGTGAATGAATGTCGAACGTTTCTTCCATTCGTACACAGCTCTGGAATATTCTATGCCCATCTATTAAAAGCCCGCACATTTCGACGATTGCCTTTTCACGTTGAAATATTCCATTCGGGTTGAAATCAATAAATGGGTTAATTTCTGGCCAAAACCAGTAGTTTAAATTCGACTTCAGTTTGAAACATAAGGGCTGCTCGACAGGCGGCACAGGGAATGGCTTCCGGCGTTTGATTTTTCTTCCTCCTGCTCTTCTTCTTTTTCTTCTTCTTCTTCTTCTTCTTCTTCTTCTTCTTCTTCTTCTTCTTCTTCTTTTTATTCTTTCTTCTTCTTCTTCTTCTTCTTCTTCTTCTTCTTCTTCTTCTTCTTCTTCTTCTTCTTCTTCTTCTTCTTCTTCTTCTTCTTCTTCTTCTTCTTCTTCTTCTTCTTCTTCTTCTTCTTCTTCTTCTTCTTCTTCTTCTTCTTCTTCTTCTTCTTCTTCTTCTTTTTATTCTTTCTTCTTCTTCTTCTTCTTATTCTTCTTCTTCTTCTTCTTCTTTTTATTCTTTCTTCTTCTTCTTCTACTTCTTCTTCTTCTTCTTCTTCTTCTTTCTTCTTCTTCTTCTTCTTCTTCTTCTTCTTCTTCTTTCTTCTTCTTCTTCTTCTTCTTCTTCTTCTTTCTTCTTCTTCTTCTTCTTCTTCTTCTTCTTCTTCTTCTTCTTCTTCTTCTTCTTCTTCTTCTTCTTCTTCTTCTTCTTCTTCTTCTTCTTCTTCTTCTTCTTCTTCTTCTTCCTCATCTTCTTCTTCTTCTTCTTCTTCTTCTTCTTCTTCTTCTTCTTCTTCTTCTTCTTCTTCTTCTTCTTCTTCTTCTCCTCCTTCTTCTTCTTCTTCCTTCCTCCTCTTCACCTCCTTTCCTCTTCTTCTTTTCTTCTTATTCTTCTTCTTCTTTCTCTTCTTCTTCCTTCTTTTCTTCTTCTTCTTCAATTTGTTTTTTCATTTTCTTCCTCCTCCTCGCCCTCTTCTTCTGCTTCTTTATTTTCTTCTTTCTGTTTTTCTACACTCATTTATAGTCATGTCATTCACGTGACTTTCCTTTTTGGAAGTGCCTAGTTTTCTACTTGTCGTTGTTATTTTCGTTGATAAAGACTTTGGTCTAAACGTTCGTCTGATTCTGTGTGTGCGTCTGTGTTTTCTTTCAGCATTTTTCACACTTCCTAGTCATGATCTTGTGTTCAGTAAATTGGATAAAATCAACCAGTTGATCAGCCAGCGCATGTTAATTTGGGGAAGTAAAAACCATGAAATCGGTTAATATAAATCAAGTCAATGAATGCGCTAGAAAAAGAATAAATATCGTTAGATTTAATTGAATCCTTAAATGTTATTGTTCCCTCAGGATCGCAGGAAATGGCTTCCGGATTTTTTTTTTTTTTTGAGTGGGTTCTGGAATGTGTCAGTACACAAAAAGACATCCCTTCTGCCTCCCCCTTCTCCTATGAAATGTTAACTAATTTTAATTAACGATTTTCAGGTTACAACTGGTGCCTGCCGGTTTGGAGATATTGTTGCAGAACTGAATGTTATAGCGCGTTCACAGATTAGTAAACAGTCTTCACGTTCACAGATTAGTGACTAGTCCACGTTCACATATTAGTGAACAGTCTTCGCGTTCACAGGTTAGTGAACAGTCTTCACGTTCACATATTAGTGACTAGTCTTCACGTTCACAGATTAGTGACTAGTCCACGTTCACAGATTAGTGACTAGTCCACGTTCACAGATTAGTGACTAGTCCACGTTCACAGATTAGTGAACAGTCTTCGCGTTCACAGATTAGTAAACAGTCTTCATGTTCACAGATTAGTGACTAGTCTTCACATTCACAGATTAGTGACTAGTCCACGTTCACAGATTAGTAAACAGTCTTCACATTCACAGATTAGTGACTAGTCCACGTTCACAGATTAGTGAACAGTCTTCGCGTTCACAGATTAGTGAACAGTCTTTGCGTTCACAGGTTAGTGAACAGTCTTCACGTTCACAGATTAGTGAACAGTCTTCGCGTTCACAGATTAGTGAACAGTCTTCGCGTTCACAGATTAGTGAACAGTCTTCGCGTTCACAGATTAGTGAACAGCCTTCACGTTCACAGATTAGTGAACAGTCTTTGCATTCATAGATTAGTGAACAGTCTTTGCATTCACAGATTAGTGAACAGTCTTCGCGTTCACAGATTAGTGAACAGTCTTTGCATTCACAGATTAGTGAACAGCCTTCACGTTCACAGATTAGTGAACAGTCTTTGCTTTCATAGATTAGTGAACAGTCTTTGCTTTCACAGATTAGTGAACAGTCTTCGCGTTCACAGATTAGTGAACAGTCTTTGCATTCACAGATTAGTGAACAGTCTTTGCATTCACAGATTAGTGAACAGTCTTCGCGTTCACAGATTAGTGAACAGTCTTCGCGTTCACAGATTAGTGAACAGTCTACGCGTTCACAGATTAGTGAACAGTCTTTGCGTTCACAGATTAGTGAACAGTCTTCACATTCATAGATTAGTGAACAGTCTTCGCGTTCACAGATTAGTGAAAAGTCTTCACGTTCACAGATTAGTGAACAGTCTTTGCATTCACAGATTAGGGAACAGTCTTTGCGTTCACAGATTAGTGAACAGCCTTCACGTTCACAGATTAGTGAACAGTCTTCGCGTTCACAGATTAGTGAACAGTCTTCACGTTCACAGATTAGTGAACAGCCTTCACGTTCACAGATTAGTGAACAGTCTTTGCATTCACAGATTAGGGAACAGTCTTTGCGTTCACAGATTAGTGAACAGCCTTCACGTTCACAGATTAGTGAACAGTCTTCGCGTTCACAGATTAGTGAACAGTCTTTGCGTTCATAGATTAGTGAACAGTCTTTGCATTCACAGATTAGTGAACAGTCTTCGCGTTCACAGATTAGTGAACAGTCTTCACGTTCACAGATTAGTGAACAGTCTTCACGTTCACAGATTAGTGAACAGTCTTTGCATTCACAGATTAGTGAACAGTCTTTGCGTTCACAGATTAGTGAACAGCCTTCACGTTCACAGATTAGTGAACAGTCTTCGCGTTCACAGATTAGTGAACAGTCTTCACGTTCACAGATTAGTGAACAGCCTTCACGTTCACAGATTAGTGAACAGTCTTTGCATTCACAGATTAGGGAACAGTCTTTGCGTTCACAGATTAGTGAACAGCCTTCACGTTCACAGATTAGTGAACAGTCTTCGCGTTCACAGATTAGTGAACAGTCTTTGCGTTCATAGATTAGTGAACAGTCTTTGCATTCACAGAATAGTGAACAGTCTTCGCGTTCACATATTAGTGAACAGTCTTCACGTTCACAGATTAGTGAACAGTCTTCACGTTCACAGATTAGTGAACAGTCTTTGCATTCACAGATTAGTGAACAGTCTTTGCATTCACAGATTAGTGAACAGTCTTTGCGTTCATAGATTAGTGAACAGTCTTTGCATTCACAGATTAGTGAACAGTCTTCGCGTTCACAGATTAGTGAACAGCCTTCACGTTCACGGATTAGTGAACAGTCTTCGCATTCACAGATTAGTGAACAGTCTTCTCGTTCACAGTTCAGTGAACAGTCTTCACGTTCACAGATTAGTGAACAGTCTTCAACGATTCCATCAAACCAAACCTATACGATTTATTACAGGAAAATTGTGCACTAACTTTTTGTTTTTCATGGGTTTAAAATTTGTAGAATCTATAGACAACTTGGGTATTGCCTTGAAAGCGACGATTCTGTTTGATTTTTTTTTACGGAGTTGGAGTGTGTCGGTTTCCGGAACACGAGACATAGGTCGATCTCCGCGAGAATGGATACAAGACATTGAAGATGCTTGGACTGTGAAAGCATATAGGGCTGGAGAATTAGCTAGGGAAAGAGAGATTTTTAGGCAGTACTGGATTTAGCTAACTCAGCTGCAGATTGGAGCCTCACAATCGTCATGGGCCTAAAAAAATGACATGACAATATGACTACTAATATATTTTTTTCAACTCCTTTGATAAAGACTTTTTGTAGAAACGATCGCTTCTTTCTATCCAGCCTACTAGCTATATTCATGTTTGTCTAAATTTGGGTATCAATTCTTCTGCTGCTTTCTTCCGAAGAGGTAAGTGCATTGTGTCTGTTAATAGCGTGGCTGCGATATTTACGCCTTTCGGCCAATACATCCGACTTCTGCAGGGATTTGTTGACTGGCTTTACCTCCGCGGGATTATCAATTCCACGACAAACTTTTTTTTGGGAGCTAAATGCAGACTTCGTACCTTGTTGAGTGAATTTGACACCCCGCCCCCTCTCTCTGTCTCTTTCTCTCTTTTTCTCTCTCTCTGTGTCTTTCCCTGTGTCTTTCTGTGTGTGTGTGTGTGTGTGTGTGTCTCTCTCTCTATCCGCCTCTGTGTGTATGTGTGTCTTACTCTCTGACTCTCTCTGTCTCTCTCTGTCTGCGTGTGTGTGTGTCTCTCTTTCTCTCTGTGTTTCTCTGTGTGTGTCTTTCCCTGTGTCTTTCTGTGTGTGTGTATCTCTCGCTGTCCGCCTCTCTCTGTGTCTGTGTCACTCTCTCTCTCTCTGTCTCTCTCTCTCTCTCTCTGTCTGTGTGTGTGTCTCACTCTCTCTCTCTCTCTCTCTCTCTCTCTCTCTCTCTCTCTCTCTCTCTCTCTCTCTCTCTCTCTCTCTCTCTCTCTCTTCCATTTTTTTCCTTATACAAAAAACTTCTATTGACAAAAACTGACATCGTGAACACATGACAAGAAAACACACAGAGACAAAATATTGGCTTATCGCTGGCTGTCTTTTCGAACGAGGTGGCACTGAGCTGTGAAAACATAGCTACTAGCACAGGTACTGGCGGTTACAACAACACCTGACCGAGCTTTAATGTGTTAGATCGTGTTTCTGCTACCGTTTAAGGCCAAAACAATTAGACTATAGAGAATCTTACCGCTTGGGGCGTGAACAGTCATTATTGATTCCTGGAAGATACGAAGTCACAACTTAGTAACCGATTGGTACAAATGTGACAGTGGCATACCAGGATTTTATGAGTGAAAAGGTGGGGGGAGGGAGGAAGGGGGGGGGGAAACAACTTGGTAACCAGTTTTGACATATATCACAGTGTCGTGACAATGTTTTCAAGTTGTTGGTGTGTGTGTGTGAGTGCGTGTGTGTATGTGTGGATGGGTGGGTCTGTGTGTGGGTGTGAGTGTGTGTGCGTGTGTGAGTGGGGGTGTGAGTGGGGGTGTGTGGTGTGTGTGTGTGGTGTGTGCGTTCGTGCGTGCGTGTGTTGAGTGAGTGAGTGGAGTGAGTGAGTGAATTAAGTGAAGGCTTGATTGCTTGGAAGACACTTCGGGCAGAATTTATGTTATACCAAGTTGCGGTGTAATCATGGAGATATGTCAGTGGTGTACCATAATTTTAATTTGGTTGGTGATGGCATAATGGCTTGATTGCAGTTCGGATAGAATTTATGATATACCAAATTACAATACAATTACTGAAATATGTCAGTGGTTTTAGTGAGGATTCTAAGGCTTGATTGCTTGAAAGATAATTCAGGCAGAATTAATAATATACTAAATTACAATGTAATCAAGAAGGAAATGTCGCAAGGCAAGAAAAAGCTTTTTGTGCTCTTTGCACCTTCTGGTCAGTCGCCCTAAGGTCATGTAGTTTCCCCATTGTTGCGAAACTGTACTGGGTTCTCAACCCTACACAGGTACGGCGGACTGAGTGGAGAGTGATGAATTGGCTCACTGGTTTCATGTTGGCGGTACGTTCAGTAGATAGACTGTTAGATCTAGATTTCCATTATGCATCCTCGCTCGGAGATTTGTGATTCCATGTCGCTGGAGGCGAAATCTCATCTTTGTTAACTATAGTTATTTGCACATGGTCTGTTCTAATAAAGTGTTCATTGGTAATGTATTATTATCTGCGAAGCACGCTAGTTTTGTGTTCAGGAAAAAAAAACACAAGTTGAATGTGATGATTATTTTTCATTGGTTTGATTATGAATAGGACTTGTAGTTCATACACTTGGTCTGACTAGGCGCTGCCTATAAAGTTATATGTTGTAGTTTTTGTTGTGTAATTCACTATTCACATATTCATAGCCCCAATCATTTAAATATGTCATGGTGCCTGCACCACAACCATTGTCTTTTCTTTAGTTTTCCCGTTATTGCAGTTCAGCAGGGAACTACTTATTGCTTTTACCACTTTTCTTTTCTTCTCTCCCTGCGTGTGTTTTCCTTTTTCCGCTAGCTCAGTGACGAAATAACCAATTAGTTAGAAAAAAGTCTTTCTGAAGCTTGGAGGTTATAGTTCTTGTACCAGCTACAAACGTCGTCATGTTCGCCCTAGGCATCAGCATCGTGTGCTATGCCGATCCGCGTGGGTAATCATGGTTGGGCATTCCTTACGATTAATAAAACTATTGATCAAGTTGGTGCCCTTGTTGTGGGTTGTAATTCCAAGGTGCCATGTTGGATCTCGGCTGCAGACTGTTTAGTAGCAAATCACCAGCGGTATCGGGAGCTGGCCGTGTAGTTTACAGTGGCAAACTACTGAACGTGATAATTGCCTAGTTAAATCACACAACAGCCAAATAATGCTGGAATTTGTTCTGCAAAGTCCTGAAAAGGATACGCAACAAAAAATTTTTTTTATTGCTTTCATCGATTTTTGGTTATTTTGATCAAAACTGAATCACTGAACATACCTAAATTACTGCAAAAGCAAGCAAAAGAGGCTTTTTCTGGACTTATTTAAACTGAATTTAACAGAGTGGTCGCTCTTGTTGCCAGCTTGCCATTTTGGAAAACTGTACAAAGAGGAGTCTGGCATCTCATGGCGACAATGTCATCTGGGCCTACAGATAATCGTTAACACCACATTAATGCTGAGATCGATACTGCTCCCTCATTGTGGTTGCTCCCTGGTGGCTTCTAGCCCGGGCTCGGTGCGGGATGAAGGGAGATCGGGGCAGAAACAAAGATGTTAGTCTCGTTAAATCTAATGTAAAATAAACGTCTTGGATTGGCTTTAGTTTCAGGTCAGAGAATACAGAACGGTAATTTCTGACGGTTGTCTTCTTGTGTTGAAGGAGCAAAGGCCTATAACCGAATCGCAAGTATTCCTGTCTGGAAATCTGATGTTTTCTCTGTTCAACACTTTTTTTTTTTTTTTTGTTCTTGTTCTTGTTCTTGTTCTTCTTTTTTTTCTTCTGCTTCTTCTTCTTCTGCTTCTTCTTCTTCTTCTTCTTCTTCTTCTTCTTCTTCTTCTTCTTCTTCTTCTTCTTCTTCTTCTTCTTCTTCTTCTGCTTCTGCTTCTGCTTCTTCTTCTGCTTCTTTTTCTTCTTCTTCTTCTTCTTCTTCTTCTTCTTCTTCTTCTTCTTCTTCTTCTTCTTCTTCTTCTTCTTCTTCTTCTTCTCCTTCTTCTTCTTCTTCTCCTTCTTCTTCTTCTTTTACTTCTTCTTTACAGCACCGAGATCTGCTTGAAAGAGATGTAGCACTGTGCCAAAAAAGGCCAGAACCATGGACAAGCAAGCCAGAGAAGGCAAATGTAGTCCTAAAGGTACCAGGGATCACTTCAAAAGATGCCCAGACGGAGACACAACAGAGAACCCTGGCTCCTTTTATGCTTGATGAGAAGTATCCAAACACCACTTGGACTCAGGTTTTCACTGACGGCTCTGCTACAGATGCAGTCAGAAAACGGAGGGGGGGGGGGGGTTGTGGAATATACATTAAACCCCCTAGCAGTAGAGCAGAAACTCTCTCTCTCTACCAGCAGGTGACATCTGCACTAACTTCAGAGCTGAGGCAACTGCCCTCCTTTCTGCAGTCCAACATCTCATCACTCAAGAACACAAAGGGCGCAAAATTGTTATACTTAGTGACTCATTGTCTGTTCTTGTGATGAGCTGGTCTGGACAGCTGTTTCTGTCCTTTCCACAGGTTAAATTCTGAAATTTAATGCCCACATGGCTCAAAAACTATGATAAATTTCTTTATCCTTACTAACCACGTTTATGATCTAGTATGCACATGTATGCAAACAGATTATCTATTTGATGATTGAATTAATGTTTATTTGCTACTAGAAACGTGCATTGGTATTTTTAATAATTATACTTATATTAATTAAGTGATAATTATGTCCTCATGTGAAATCTCAGCCAGTTCCTGTTTCCAGCTTAGACAATTAAAAATAGGAATGAAGTGTATATTCATTATACCTAATCCCTTCTAAGTTGATTTTACCTCATGGTGATATTAGCTTAATAAATCACTGTCTTGCTTTAATTTAGATTTACTCCAGATAATTCTGAGACTAGTTTAAGAGCTTGGAAAGTGAATAACACAGTGAGGCTGAATTTAATATTCACACTGTCAGAGAAGAAGAAGCAGAAAAGAGATGTATGGCCCATGCTTGTAATTATTATTGTTGTATATATATTTCCCTATTACTAGGAATACATTTCAGTTCTACAGCAGGTGGTCTTACAAATTTAATAATTATATTTCACCCCTCACCACTTTTAAACTCTGCTGAATAAGATTAGCACATGTGTGGGTTTAGATTTAAACTGGAGTGTTGTATATTTTATGTTAATACTGTGACAGATGGAAAGCCCATTGTCAACTATGATTG